GCACTCTACCGCTGAGCCACAGCTCCTGCCCAACAGTATATTTTCTTATAGGTAAGTTCTAATTGTGTTCATGAAGAGTAAAGATTTTAAGCCAGAAAGGTGGTAACATCTGTGACTCCCAGCTACTCAGGAGGCTGAGGCAGGAGAATTGCAAATTCAAGGCCAGTCTGGGAAATTTGGCAAGACCCTATGTCAAAATAAAATTTTAAAAGTGATGGGGCAGGTTAAGAATGTAGCTCAGTGGTAAGAGTGCTTGCCTAAGCATGTGTAATGCCCTGGATTCAGTCTGTATATCTCAAATAAATAAATAAAGTTGGTTTGGTTTTGGTACCAAGAATTAAACTCAGAGGGGCTATTCCCACTGAACAACATTCCCCAGAACTTTTTATTTATTTATTTATTTATTTTCATTTTGAGACTGGGTCTCAGTAAATTGCTTAGGTCTCATTAAATTGCTCAGGCTGCCTCTGAACTTGTGATCCTCCTGCTTCAGCCTCTGAAGCTGCTGGGTGCTGCACCATGGCACCCAGCAATAAAGTTGTTTTTTTTTTTGTTTTGTTTTTGTTTTTAAGAGATGGGGTCTTGCTGAGTTGCCCAAGCTGGCCCTGAATTCCTGGCCTCAGGTGTTCCTCCTGCCTTAGCCTCCTGAGACTGGGACTTCAGAAGAGCACAATCACATAGGGCAAGAATAAAATTTATTGTTTTGCCTTACTGAGGATTAAAACCAAGGGCACTCCACCACTTAACTACATCTCCAGGCCTTTATATTTTCTATTTTGATACAGGGTTTTGCTAAGTTGCTCAGGCTGGCCTCTGACTTGCAGTCCTCCTGCCTCAGCCTCCTTACCTGGGTTCATGGGTGTGGGCCACTGTGCCTGCAGAGAATCACTACTCCTTTTTTAGAGAAAACCTATCCACTATCACAGAGCTTTATCATACTAGAAGACATTCCCCCAATCAAGGGACATAATAATCCCTAATTAATCTTCACTTAAATTTGAATTTCTTGCTCTAACTCCATACAAGAATTGGGCTTCAGCACAACAGCCACATCTGGGTTCTGGCCTTCCAAGTCCCCTGTCTTCAAGACTTCCTCACCAGAGTGAGGTATTGGGTGACGATTTATTTCTATTTGTCTGGCAGGTAAATAGTAAGACACACTTGTATGGGAGAACACATGTACATCTCAGGGACTTCCATTAGTTTTACAATATACACTTGACATTCCTGCTGGGGATAAGAAACATGTACCTAAAGGCAACATAATTATCATCGGAAGTCATTCTTTACTTTATTAAACAGAATAGAATCAGGTTTATCTTATTCCCAATTTTGTGCAGATCTTCAACCTAACTACATTAAAATAAATTTTTAAAAATAAATAAATAAAAATAAAAAGCCAGGCACAGTGGCACACACTTGTGTGGTAGGCTAAGGCAGGAACATCATAAGTTTGAGGCCAATCTCAGTAATTTAGCAAGACCCTGTCTCAAAATAAAAAATAAAAAGGGCTGAGGGTGTAACCCACTGGTATAGCTTCATGTTGTTTGATCCCCAGAACCAAAAAAATAAAATAAAGTAAAAAGATTAAAAAGTAGGTTTTTGGCCAGGTGTGGTAGTACACGCCTGTAATCCCAGCAGCTCAGGAGACTGAGGCAGAAGGATCATGAGTTCAAAGCTAGCCTCAGCAACTTAGAGAGGCTCTAAGACTCTAAGTTAAGGCCCTAAGTGAGACACTGTCTCTAAATAAAATATAAATAAGGCTGGGGATGTGGCTTAGTGGTTAAGCCCCTCTGGGTTCAATCCCCAGTATCAAAAATAAGGGGTTTACAGAACTTCAACATTCCATTTTCCCCAACTATATATACATTGTAGGTGGGAGAGCAGTTCTCAGATCCTCCAAATAGCAGTTGTAAGGAGGTAGAAATGTCATTCCCTTTTCTAGTCACAAGAGATGGGTGTATTGGTACCATAATGGAGCCTTGTCCTCAGACACAGGCTAGGAGGAAGGTAAAATCCAGGTCAGAAGATGGCGCACTCTGCTAAGCCATTTAAGTCTGGGCAGTCTCCACTTTCTCAGGAAAGTGATTGATTGGAAATGTGTCTGTCCTGCGTTCTTGTATTTATTTGCCTTGCGGCAAGAATGCAGGACAGACACATCATCCTCAGTGTGCTTTGCCCTACCACTGACTCTTCTTAGTGTTATTGTCTTTCATGATAGGGATTGTTGGTGTAAGTGATGCCCCTCAGCTGAGTGCTCACAGTGGGCTGGGTTAGAGCTGCTGGGGGATGGGGAAGCCTTTGAAAAGGCAGCCCCAGGGGCTAGGGTGGTGGCTCAGTGGTAGAGCACTAGTATGTGTGAGGCACTGAGTTTAATTCTTAGCACCACATATATATAAATTAAAATAAAGTTCTATCAACAACTGAGAAATAAAACTTAAAAAAAGAAAGAAAAGGCAGCCCCAGATGTCTTCCAGATGTGCAACGCTGACTTTTAGGCCAAGGCCCTTTCTAGAGGGTACATTAAAGAAGACAGCATGGAAGGAGAGCAAGATATGGCCTGAAGGAAGCCCTCTGCCCACCCTCCCTTGGTTAGCCATGTGTATTCTGGTGAGCTGTTTGCCAGTCTCACTTTCCCTTTGATTCCAGGTTTCTGTCAGAAAGAGTGGCTTTCCTATCCTGAGGATGGTGCTCAGAAAAAAGGGGCCCAACTCCCGTGAATACCTGTTCCGGGTGGGACTGTCAGAAGTACCAGATGGACTGAATTCCACAGTGGGAGAATTATTCTAACCCAGAGCAAGTAAACAATGAGAGTCAGGCTGCTCTTGAGGTCTGTAACTCGGCCCCAACCTTGGGCGCTCTCAGCGCATTTGACTAAAACTTTGTGACTCTAACCCAGTTTCACTCTGAGCCTTGAATACACTGTCTCATTGTCACACTAAGCCTGGCAACTGCCTCAGGCCTTGGAGCCTTTCTGACTGGATTTTCTTTCTACCACCCCAGCTCTTTGGTGGACATTCATTCTCTAGCACTTGCTGGTGAGATAGCCACAGATACACAGTATAGAACCTGGCCAGGACTTCCAAAATTCTGGTATTTCTCCTTGCTCACATTGTTTTTCCCTTCTGCATTGTTCTGCTCATGGTTTCAATCCCTAGTCCGTTGGCTCTACTGATCATAGGCCTGTGGCAAGGTCGCAGATCATAGCTACAGCATGTGGTAGAGTAAAGCTGCCTCCCTCGAGGCTGCCAGGAAGCAGAGACAGAACGGGGCCAAGGTCCCAAAATTCCCTCTAGGACACACCCCTAAAGACCTAACTCCCTCCAATTAGGTCTTACCTCCTAGAAGATCTACCACATCCCAAAAGCCCCATGGGCTGGTGACCAAGCCATTAGCATCTGGGCTTTTGGGGGATATTTAAGATCCAAGCCACAAGTGTTGTATCTTCCTTTTAAAGTGTATCTATTTGTATCAGAGGAAAATTTCTAGGACAAGTAGTCAAAATAATAGTGGTTACCTCTTGGTAGGGGGAAGTTTTGACTGTTTACTTTTCCAAGAACAAACATGTTATGATATTACTTAGAAAAATCTGCAAACTGAGCCTATGGATTGGATAGTGGAGGGGGAGGAACAGTGTTTTCTGCTGCTCCAGAATGGACCACAAGAAGTCATTAATCAGCTAAGCAGAACCTGTACCACCTGGAGGAGGTGGGTAGGGACTTCTGGGGCTTGACTTCCTTCAGCTCAAAATTCTGAATTTGTAAATGTTTTCCTTCTTATGCTGTTCATATACCCAATTTTCATTTCCCTGACTTCTTGGTATTTTTTAAAAAGCTCTGTTATTAGCAGCTGGGCTAAGGGGACTCAAAAGAGAGACTTGTGTCCCTGGATTTTGAAAATGGGGCTGGGCTTGGTGGCAGTAGCAGGAACCAAACAGAGAATTCCAAAAGCAAAAGAAAGACTCTACAAGAGAAAAGCTGAGGTCATTTGTGTAAGCTTTTCTTCCTTGGAGACTCTTCACCTAGAAGCCTCTTCCTTTTTTTTTTTTTTTTTTAATTCAGAGAATTGAATCCAGGCTTCACACATGCTAAGGAAGTGTTGTACAGGGATTTTTTTTTTTTTTTAACCAAACCTATAGGGCTGAGTTTCTTCATTAAGAGAAGCTATTTTGGGGCTGGAGATGTAGCTCAGTGGTAAAGTACTTGCCTAGCATGTGCAGGGTTCTGGATTCCATCCCCAGTAGAGAGAAAGGGGCGGGGGATGGAAAGAAACTTTTTTCAGATGCGTTGACATGGTGTTTCCATTGATGTCCAGTTGGGGTATCCAAGCTTGTCCATCAAATCCAGGGAGGTTCCCCAGACCCAACCCAGAGCTTCATGGGCTCCACCTGCCTCTGTTGCTCTGTAATGTGACCTTAATATCTACAAGACAAACATTTCCCTCACTGGGAAAAAGATTTGGCCTTTGGAGAGATGAGCTCAGAGGAGACTCCTTGTCTTGCCCCAATAGCCTCTATTCTTAAGCGGATCAACTAAGTTGACTGAACCCAGAAACTGCTTCCCAGATGGGGCACTTACGAACCCAGTGTGAATTCAACTCATGTCCCCAGGTGAAGACTTCATTCTCTGGGAAAACTGTATGTAAGCACAAGAAAACAAGAAAAGCTCTGTGTCCACTGGCTCAGCTAAAGGCACCAGCTAAAAGGAAAAGGTGCAGCTTTAGAGTTGGAGGCAGAATATTCATATGATGTGTACTGGCTTAATGTCATACCATAGTCTCTCAGGACAAGATGAGGAGTGTGTCTTAGCAAAGGGATATAGAGATGTCTTGTCCTCTGATGGAGAAAGAGCCTAGGGACCCCTGGGCATCAAGCAAGGTATAGCAACAAGAATCCAAGTGGGAGATCCTCATGGATCTAGTCACGTATACCACTCTAAGAGATTTTCCAGAAGACAGAAGAAACCTTAATCATACCCATATTAAAATAAATACACAAAATCTTTGAAAGACAGTACCATTTTATTTAGTGTTATAGGAAATTTTAGGTTACTTTTAAAAAATAAGACAAAGAAATTTTAAAATCCCAAAGTAACAAAACAAGAAATAGTTTATTCTGTAATCCAAAAACTCTGGGGGATCCTTCAATTGGAGGGAAGGGAAAGTCAACTAGTAACTCACATAGTAGAAGAAGAAAAATACAGAGTTGAGACTGGTATGGATATTAGAAGGGAAGGTTCTCCCATCTAAAGCAATTAATTAGTAGATCTAAAAAAAAAAAAAAAAAAAAAAGGAAAAAGACGGGCCTTAGTTCAGTGGTAGAACGCGTACTTACTAGCATGTGCGAAGTCCTGGTTTAATCCCCAGCACCAAGAGAAGAAAAAAAGAAGGTTGATTGGGAGAAGAAACCCAGGGAGAAAGATCTTGCATAACTTAACACAAACAGGCCTCCGGCCTTCAATACAGTATGTGGCACAGTGTCAGGACCTTCCTCCCTCTGGGCCCTGTAGAAAGCTTTCTACAGGGCTGCATCTCATCCATGCAGCATAGGACTGCATCTCATCCATGCAGGCCCTCCATTCTGGGTCCATACAGAACATGGCAATGGGCAGCTGCTTGCTCCCACCTTCTGTTGCCTCAATGAAGTCAGCAGGCTGAATAAAAAGGCAGGACATCTGGCAAAGCCCAAGGAATGAGATGATATGAAACAATCAAGCCAAAGATTGACATTTTTTCCACAAAAATGACCTCCAAATGAAGTTCACTGGTACTTACTTAATCTGATGCTTTCCTGCAATCCTAGCTGATGTTTCTGGAGGAAACCAGACAAGCCCCCCCCCCCCCCCCAAAAAAAAAAAAAAAAAAGAACTGCTCTCACTTCTGTGGAACACAGCTTCCTCCCAAGGCCTGCTAGGTATTAGCATCTGCAGCAGGCTCAGGCAAGTGCCAGCTCTCCTGGTGCAGATGGATAGATGCCCTTAGGCCTATGCCAGTTAGAGCTGCTCCTGTGCAGAGGCTGTTCCCTAACTTCTGTTAATGGCTCAGAGCATGCTACAGCTGTTCTTAGATAAGTCCCTTCTCCCAGCCCCAAACTGAGCCAAGGACAGTTAGTAACTAAATGACCTCCAGGTTATCTATTTTGTGAGGTACAAGGAATGCTAGAAAGTGAATTTTTTTTTCCAGCAGTGGCAGAAGCCAGATACCCTTGAAGTAAATTGTCCTTCATTCTCCAGAGTTCCCAAGTGGCATTTCAGAGAACAGGAATTCACTCCTCCACCCAGATGTCCCTCTCCAATGTTGACTGAGTTACATACCCAAGGTCCTAGCAGCAGATATCTCCAAAGCCCTCATGTAGCATGTAGATCCTCACACTAGCTCTTTCAAAGGAGAGAAACCATCCAGTATATACCTGCCTCCCAGCGCACTTGGGTTATCACAGTAAAATACATTTATATCAAGTAAAAAATATGATGCAGAACAAATATATACATGTACATTTCCAGAGTTCAAGTGGATATACAGTTTCTTTAGAAGCATAGCAACACATTTCACAGCACTACAAAAATACGAGGCATTTGAAGTTTACAGTGGTCCCAGTACTACAGGAAAGAATTAAATAAAATAAAATAGCTGTGGATTCCTAAAAGCTAATTAGATAAATCAAGTTACAATATCACCCTTCAGATTAAAGTGCTCTAATAGAACCAAGGCTGCAGGAAGAACAATCCTGAAAAGGGACTCTTGTTCCTTGCCCTCACCGTAAGAAGGACATACACAGAAGAGAGTCTCCATTTAATAACTGCCACCATCTCAACCCATGCCAGTGCCATTGACCTCTGATGATTCTTCCCCAGGAGAGATGTCAGGATTTGATGAAATTCCATCACAATCAGGAGGGGAAAAATGAGCAATTCAAAACATTCTAATTTCAATATGATGTGAACAACAGTAAAATTACCTGAAAAACTTGAAGTGGTGGTACAAGTTACAAAGAAGGCAGGTACCTAGCTTTAAAAAATGTCCGTATTAATCTAGTTTTAAAAATACAGACAGCCCAAAATAAGTATCATCTTGTTCCCCACAATTTTTTTTTTCCTGGTGCTGGGAATGGAACCTGGGGCCTCCCAAATGTAGGCAAATGCTCTGCATATGTTTCATCCCCAGCCCACTCTTCACAATTTTCTAACAAGGGGGTAAAATGTCTGTGAGTCTGTTCATGAAGGAAAACAAAAAATAAGCAACAGTTTAAAGGCTGCAGCATTTCTGTTCTCTACTAGCTTTTAAATTTTATCAACTAAATTAAGCCCTGCACTACAACTCTCATAGTATCCTGGGAGTAACTTAGGTTTCCTTTCAAGCAGAGACAGACAGTATTTAGAGGACAGATCATATGGATACATCCTTATTCCTTTGTGGTTTCTCATGACATACATGACAAAGGTTCCCGCTTCCTCTTTTTTGTGGTGTTGGGGATGGAACCCGGGACCTTGCACATGCTAGGCAAGAGCTCTACCACTGAGCTACACCCCAGCCTTCTTCATCTTGAGGAGTCAGTGGGCCCTGGCTCGCTCCAGGGAAGCTGCCAAGGAAACCAGCAAGCCAAGCAAAGGCACAGATGGAAATGGCCAAAGGAATCTTACTAAAACCATTCTGTACCTGAAAGAACTGTTTTAGTAAGAGTTTGGATCACCCAGTCCCTTATTAAGGCACTGACAAAGCCAGTCCAGCCAGCAGGAACCTTGACTTTGATCAACTTCTCCTAGTTGAGTGAAAAGTGATCCTCTAAATCCCATATTCTACTTTTTACATCTCCAAGAGAAAGGACCTATGGATATTTTAAGGTCAGAGTGGTGGAAGCTGATGCTGAGAAGAGGTGGTTTGTTCAGAATCTAAGAGGCACACTCAAGAGGCTTTCCCTAAATGACTGCTCCAAGTTAAAAGAAAAAGAGAAACAGGAAGCAAGTCTAAGAAGCCTGGTAAATTTACATGGTATCAAAATTCAGCATCTGCATCCAAAAAGCCACACCTGAGCTGCTTAAAGGCCAAGAAAAAAACAGGTAACAGCACCAATTGTGGTCCTTTTCTCATTTCACCCCAAATTGTAATGGCTGGAGATATATATTTGAAAAAGCTCAATATCAAAGAAAGACAACCCCACTATTAAAAGACATTAGTATGTCCAGTGCCATCTGAATCTTTGATTCGGAATTAGTTCTTAAGACTACGTCTCTGGTGGGCATAAAATATTTACAACATAATTCAAGGCACAGTGGCATTTGAAAATAAAACCCTGGGAATGTACAGTAAAAGATTCACTGTAATAATTAACCTGGTTTCGACTGGTAGAATTAACTGTTGACAGATAACACACAGGAGAGATGGTGATTTGGAGCCTACTGGCTGATTATCAGACATACTATGTTCTTGACTTCAAGAGCAGGTAGAAACAAACACAAAAGCATCTCAGTGTTTTATCCTGGCAGTTCACATCTTTCCTGCTTTTTTGCCAACCTGAGCAGGAATGCGGAGGATGTTGGGGGTTTCTTCCATGACTCTGACAAGCAGATTGTCAATGTAGTCTTCCAGCTCTCGAACCTGAAACTCCTTTTTGCTTATGGTTTCCTTCTGTTTGAGGACCAACTGGATCAATTCGTCATGAGTCAGCTGTGCATAGGCAAAGGCAGGGTCTGAAGGATTGTATTTCTTGGGAGAAGGGAGAAAGCGGGGGAAAGATTATAAAAATCAGCATAGATATCAAGTATTTAAAAAGAATACAAAAGAAGAAAATGTTATTAGTGACCTCAGTCTCTTGGAAATCTGTTTTCAATGAACAGTAAAAACAGATTATTGATTAAGTTTCTATAAAGGGTGAGTAAGAAATATTTTAGACTTTATGGACCATATATAGTCTCTGTTGCATGTTTTTGTTTAGTTTTAATATTTTAAAAAATGTAAAAAGCCAGGGGCTTAGGATATAGTTCAGTGGTGGAGATTTGCCTAGCATGTGCAAGGCCCTAGGTTTGATCTCTAGCACTGCAAAAGAAAACAAGTAAAAACTACACTTGGCTCACAGGCCACAGACCTCTGAACTTGACTTTGGTTTGGTGGTTTCAAAAAATATTTTCACAGGAGCTGGGGCTGTAGCTCAGTGGCAGAGCGCTTGCCTAGCACATGTGAGGCACTGGGTTCAATCCTTAGCACCACATAAAAATAAACAAATAAAATTAAGCATGACATCCATCTACAACTAAAAAATAAATAAATACAAATTAAAAATATTTTCACAACTAGGAGTTATCACACAGAGGCAGAGCACTTGCCTAGCATGCTGAAGGCCCTAGGTTTCATCCCCAGCACTGCAAGCAAAAATAGAAAAGGAAAAAAGAAATGTCATCAGCCAGGTATGGTGGTGCATACCTGTAGTCTCAGCTACTTGGGAGGCTGAGGCAGGAGGATCACTTGAGCTCACAAGTGAGACACCATGTCAAAATAATAATAATCGTTGGAGGACTCAATCCTCCAAATGTGCTAACAATGCAGGGCTGGAGACAAGCACCAAGGAAGAGGGGGACCATGAAGAATCACTAGAGACAGAAGGTGCAGGAAGGTGCTCTCCTGCCAACATGACAAGGTGCTGGTCATCCCAGGTAGTCTGCTACTGCCTAAGCTACACTCAGAAGGATGTGGTGATTAGGTCAATGCAGTGGCCACTCAAAGACCTCACCTGAAGTAATTTCATACTCAAAAAATATGCAGTCAAAGCCAAGTGCCACCAGGCCACAGTCTCACTGGCAGCCATCTAGGACACACCCTCTGGGTACACAGTGGCCTGTCCCAGAGCTGAGTGTTCTCACTCCTGATGGGGGCAGAAGCCCTGCATAGTTACTGTGTTGCTGTTCCTTACCAGCATTTATAATCTAGGACCACAGGAGCCCAACCACAAGCCAAAGAAGCCTGAAGCACTGAGGAAACACAAGATGAAAAAGTCGTATTTAATATGTAACAAATCGTACTAAGTCTTCATAAAGGAGGAAAAAAAATCGTGACTTTTCTAGTAATCTCCGGCTTAGGAGATTTATAAGTTTAAGGAAAACAAGATCCTGGAGCAACCACAAGATGATTTTTGCCTATAGAATTCAAGCAATGACAGTTTCATTGCCCTGAGGGTCCAACAGTTTCACAGACTACCAGGAAGGTTAAGAGACTACCTCCTCCAAGTTGTAAGAAGCTAAATCAAGGGCAGAATCAACACTGTTCAACACATGAACAGAAGCCCATTCCAGTCAGTGAAGTGAACTGCTTGTATGTAAGCCAGAATTCAGACTTGGAGTCCCAACCCTCCTACTTTGGCCTGGAACAAAAACTTCATGATCGCAATACTAGCTTAGAAATACACATTGACATTGACATATACAGAGTGGGTTTTAACCCAACTCAGGCTGCACATAAATAAATGAGATGTTGGACTACTTTTCTAAAACCTGCATCTTCCTTAATCCTTCATTATTTTAACTTGTTGAAAGCATACATTCCTAGGGTATCTCCTCTGCATCTCAGTTACTGTTTTGTTTTTGTTTTCAGTGCTAGGGATCAAATCCAGTGCCTAGCACACCTTAGGCAAGCACTGCCACTGAGCTATACCCCTAGCCCAGTCACTCTATTTGTGACTTCCAAATCTATATTCAACCAAAAAACTGCATATATGCAAGAGGTCTGGAGATTGATTGCACAACAATATGAATGTTCCCAACACTACCATGCTACATTAAAAATGACGAGATGGAAATTTTTTATAGTATGTATACTTTACCACAAAAATAGTACCATGTCTGCTTATATTTTGTATCAAGAGAAAAAAGTCATCTTTGTAAATAAGGGCCAAGAATACATTCTCAAAGGTTTTTTTGTTTTTGCAGTACTGGGGTTTGAGCCCAGTGGCACACTACCACTGAGCCACATTCTCAATACCTTTTTTTTACTTTGAGGCAAAAAAAAAAAAAAAAATCTTTTTCCTGGGATGGAAGTGAAACTCAGAGGCAGAGTGCTTGCATAGCATTCACAAGGTCCTGGGTTCAATCTCCAGCACTGTAATCAATCAATTCATTTCTCCCTCAAATAGCAGTTTTTTTAAATTACAAAAACAATATTTGTCTTACAGTGTAGGAATCATAAAGAATATAATTTTATATTATTACTATTTTGTGAGCATTTTCCTATCATAAAATTTTGGTTAAAATTGTTTTCATAGATTATTAAAAATTCATTATATTTTAACATCTCTCTATTGCTAGATATTCAGGTCATTTTTCAATTTTCAGAATTATCCATAACATTTTTATTAAAATGCATGCATAGATCTTTGTTATATCCCTAAATATTTCCTTAACATAAACACCTAGAACTGAAAAGGTGAACACACTTAACAGTCTTAACAGTCTTCATACAAACTGTCAACCAGCTATTCAAGTTGGATTCTGTAATCAAAGGGAAAAGAAGATACATAGGACTTTGAAATCATTAGGCAATCCTAGTTATGTGATTTAAAAGAAAAATCATAAAACAATCCAGCCTTCTAAAAAGTGAGCAGTGCTCATGGAAGAGGCACAGAGATAACACCCGGTAATACAAGAAAGAAGGTGCTTGTTTTTGTGTATTTCCTACTAGGATCCAGTTTCACACTGCATTTTTCTTTTTATGTAGTTGCAATAATGACATACATGGAAATGCATATCCAACTTTTTCCATGTAATATAACAGAAGATTTTAGGATCCAGTTGTCTTTATTATTTTAAAATGGGAATGTTAAAGCCACCTGGGTAAATAATACACTCCCAATTATAAATCATCTTTGAAGAATGGAGGCCCTAAAACTACAGTGGGGGTGGGGCAGGGATGGGGGGGGGGGCGGAAATCACTGTAGTAATGATCCAGCTAGGCCTTCCTAAGTTTAGCTATGCAATTTCTTTCCCTAACCCCTCTCTTATTTTGCGACATTCCTAAGAGTAGTTATTTTTATAAATACTGCTTTATGCCTAGTACAAAGTGTCTATTATACAGCAGGCCAATGGTACAGTCTCCAGGGGATTTTCCACATTTACAAAGAATATTTACGAGAGAGGGTCCAGGACCAAGAGATTTGTGGCAGGCAAAGGGGCAGCAGCAGGGTGTACATATCAGGGCAAAATAAGTAGTGCTGCCTTTGTTTTGAGGCAAGTCATTCTATTAATCAGTTCCAGGAGATAGACCTCTGATTAAATGAGCTTTGAAGAGTAAATAAAATGGAAGGCCAGAGTCTTTCCAGTTTCCCAAAAATAAAGCGTCTGTTTCTCCCTGGGTTCAACCCCCAGCACCAAAATAAATAAATAAAACCAGAAAGAGCCACAAAGCATTCTACAGTGAAAGGAAGAGGGGATGGGAGGCTGCTGAATGACTCCAATTTTCATTCTGGTCACCTTTATTTTGTTCTTTTGCCTTATTTCCTGGTAAATATTATTAACTCCAAGAAGACAGTACTGCTGCTTCTACCTGCAACAATCACACAGAAGCCAGCCAAGCAGAGCAGGTCGGTTTATACTACGTATAAATTTTTAGGTTAGGGCTAAAATGTAGTAGGTACTCAGTGTGGTCATGGCAGGTAATTTTGAGAACAATGCCTAACACCTGGCCCACTGGCATGTTCTACCAGGGAAGAGAGGGCAAGGGAGCTTGAATGAGGAGGCTACCTTGTTTTCAGCAATAATTAGTTGTCACTGCTCAGTCTCTCTTACTGAAGACTCGCATTTCCAGCCTCCAGTGTATCTTTATCCCAGCTCCTCATGGCTGAGGTACAATGAAGACAGAAGGAGGAACATTCCCCAGCACTTAAGAAAAATGCTGGGCTGGGATTGTGGCTGAGCAGTAGAGGGCTCCCCTAGCATGGGCAGGGCCCTGGTTTGATCCTCAGCACCACATAAAAATAAAGGTATTGTGCTGTGTCCATCTACACCTAAAAAATTTAAAAAGAAAAATGCTTTCAGGGGCTAGGGATGTGGCTCAGTAGTAGACTGCTGGCCTAGCATGCCCAAGGCCTTGGTTCCCGTACAACAAAAAAGAAAAAAAAAGTTTACAGTGATGCGAGCAAAAATTTTTATTTCAAAAACCAAAATGATGCCCTGGAGTCCAGGGGACTATAAAATCTGTGACTGAAAGAACCCTTTTAGCTGCCCTGAATCAAAATAAAAAAAGGTTTTTTTGTTAGTTTTGCAGTGCTAGGGATGGAACCCAGGGCCACACACATGCTAGGCAAATGCTCTACCTCTGAGGCTATACCCCCAGCTCAAGAGTTTATTTCTACAGACTGCAGTTCCCAGTAATCAGGAGGAAGTTCCTCTCTACATATTTGAAATACAACACATCCTTGCCCACTAAAGGTCACTGTTTCTCCATAAATATTCTCTTCCAGTTTGTATGATAATGAGTCAAAGACCAGGGCTTTGCAACGCAGCAGTATTCTAAATCCTTCGGATTTTAAAACAAAAAGAATGAGGATGCGGGGAGGACAGGGTGTAACTGAGGGGTAGAGTACACACTTAGCATGCTCAGGCCCAGGGTTCCATCCCCAGTTCAAAAAACCCCCACAAACGTGAGGAATTATTCTAGAGTAGCATACTAAAGAGACAACTACCTGTAGTGAGTAATACAGGACTGGAAAAACAACTGAATAGGTCACTATTGGGATAACTGAAGAACCTGAAATAGGTACTATAGATGAGAAAACAGTATTGTTAAGTTTATAGACTATCCTTATTCTTAGAATTATGCACTTAAATATTTAAGGGTTTAAAAAAAAAGGCATAGTGTATACAACACACTTTCAAATGGTTCAGACACGAAGTTACATGTGGCCTGGGTATACACACATGCAAAGAAGGGGAGGGAGAAGAAGCAGAGAGGGCAAGGATGAAAAGGTAAACCTGGTCAAACATTAACAAAACTGGTGAATCCAGAGGAGGGGTGTATAGGAGTTCTTTGTACTGTTGTTGCAACGTTTTTATATTTGAAATTATTTCAAAATAAAGTCATAAAACAAGTGCATCTAAGCAATAATCACAATTCAAGAATTTTATATTCTTACCAAAAGATAAAAAGGAAACATGGGAAAAAAGAAAGCATCTGACTTGAATGGGCCAGATTGTGGGTGACATTTTCTTCTCATTAAAGAGAAGTACCAGGAGCTAGGTATGTAGCTCAGTGGGAGAGCACTTGCCCAACATGTGTAAGGCCTTGGGTTTGATTCCCAGAACTGCAAAAAATAAAAATTCAAAGTAAATACAAAGAAGTGACAGTTTCAAGCATGTTGAGACAATTTCAACAATGAATAGGTGACTATAAGAGAAAAGTAATTATCCACCCAGCAGAAAGGCTGAGGGCTTCCAGGTTATCCAAAGGCTCAAGTGATCCTCCAGCTTCAGTATCCCCAGCCTCCTGGGAGTACAGGTGTGTGCCTCCACAACCAGCTATAATGACAACTCTGGACATGAATGTTTTGTAGATCCCTAACTAACATGACAACGTCTTAGAACACATACCTTCATCATGGCTTCATTGATCAAATTCTCACTGATGATGGTAGCAGTTCCCAAACTGGAGTTAGCAATCTTGGTGGCTGTTGTGTTCATTGGCTTCACAGGGTGAAGTCTAAAGAGAAGGGGGAAAGGACCCTTAAGCCTTTTGTAACCACAAAACTGAGAAACAGACCATTTTAAAGATGGCAGGCAGCAAGTCAGGCAAGGGGATGGGGAGAGTAGTGACACTCTGTTCACATCTCCATCCAGCATATACTCCAAGGTCTCAGTTCCTGTGGAAATGAAAGCAGGCAGGACTAGGCAGCCACAAGAAAGCCAGCAAAGCACATCCTTGGCCAGGTGTCTTGATGTCCTCAGGAGCCCTTCAGTCTTGTTATCAAGTATTAGAAGGGATGAAAGACAGTCTCATGCTGCGGGTATAGCTCAGTGGCAGAATGTGTACCAGGCATACACGAGGTCCTGGGTTCAATCCCAGAGCCTTAAAAAAAGGAAGAAAGAGTACAGTTTCATTTTTGGTGGAAACTATAGCCTAGAACTCCACTGAGGAACTCTCTGCAGAGCTCTCTATGCTTCTGCAGTAAAGAAAGAGTTCAGAACAAATGTGCCAGCTGTTCAACACCACTAGATTCTACTGCTCTATCTTAGCTGGTTTCTGAGACTTATACACCGGTCACACTACATTTCTGCAATTGGAGAACTCTTGATCTGACTGTGCAAAACAACTCCTAAACTATCTTTGAAGATTATTGCTACATTCTTGCTACAAAATAAAGCAATCTTGAGGTATCCTCACCACAAAGGACAGACTCTGTCAAAAGGCCCTACCAGCAAATCAGGCAAGCTACAACATGAGGACATCCATATGGTCTGAAAGCCATAACCTCTGTGGGTAAAAGCAAAGGGGGGACATCTCTCCCATTTACAAAGACAATCTCCCCATCTCTCACCTGTGCTTGGTTGCCCCAGTTCCAGCGCTTGGCTGAGCTGAGACTGGATGTGTCTCTGAGGGTGAGACCCAGGCCTGAAGAAGCGGCTTCCTCTTGCCAAAATTGTCAACTTTACCAGCGGAGCCCTCTGCTGTTGCTTTTTTTTGAGATTCTGCTGTACTGGTGTGGTGAGTGTTGGGATGTGGAGAGCTAGGGAGAGAGTGTATGGCAGGAAAGGTCTCAGAAAGGGAGGAGCTGGGCACAGGAGAGTCCAGGGCCTTGACAGGAGGCTGACTTGGCCTCTCGTCTCCCTTTAGTCTTTCTTCCTCACCACTGCCAGGGTCTGGCAGCTGTTTATCCACACTTGAGCTCGTGCCAAGATGTGGTTCTAAAATTCCTAAAGCTGCCATCTGCTCTGAAGGAGCTGCTGTGGGGGCCTTTGACCTGCAGTCGTGCAGACTCTCCATGGGTGCCGACCCATCTGCCCCACCACTCAGCCCCTTTCCCATCTCAGGACAGGGAGGTAATGTGACTGAGGATGAAGCTCCTGCTTCAGCCAGCTTTGCTGTCTTCCTGTCATCTTCAACCTGATCTACTCTTTCATCATCTGAGGCCACTTCAGGAATGGAAGGGAGGGTCAAGTTCAGATCAGCCATGATGGGGGACTTCATATCTGAGGCAGATCTAAGGCTGCTCAGGGGGTCTGACAACAAACCTTCATGATCACTGGCTTTGCTCTGATATTGAGCCATAAGGGCATCATCCCCCTCAATCCTGAAGAGTGAGGTGCCTTTCGCAGAGCTGGCTTCACTTGTGGGGTCTTCTGAGGAACCCTCATCACTAGAAGGAGCGAGAAGGCAATCTTCTGTGGGGGTTGGTGCACTGCAAGCCTGGGCCACAGCCACAGATTCCCTCTCTGAGTCTTCTGTGTGGGGACACCCAGGAGGTTCCACATCAGGCACCTTTCCCTCAGCAGTCCCTTCAGAAGTCACCTCTTGGGGATGATTTTTTTCTTCTTCCCCCAACCAAGTGTGTTTCCCTACCTCCTCTTCTGTGAAGAGCTGCTCCGAAAATGATACGCGCTTCTTGACTCTCTTTTCACCCTCACTTACATTCAGACCCATCTCTTCCTGTTTCTGCAACATGGCGTCAAATGGGGGCACTGCTTCCTCAGTTGCAGAAGTCATCCCACCATCCTTAACTTTGTTGTCTCCCTCCAAGGGAGGCTTCCCAGCGGGGCTTACATCTCTATCACCGTTGAGGGAAAGCACAAATGGGACTTCAGGGGCCTCTTGAGATGAGGGGATGTGGTCTCGTGTTGGGGAGGAAACTTTCAGAAGTTCTTCTTTTGGTTGCCCCGCTTCAGGATGCTCCAGGAGAGGCTTTCTGGGTTCATTGCTGCTGGCATTCTTCTCCTTGCCTGTCTCACTGATCTGCCCCCTTGGAGAATCTTCCATTGCTTTCCATGCTGAGACAGGTGGTTGTTTAAAAAGTGATCCCAAGGCAGAAGACATTGTATTTGGAACTGCTATTAAACTTTCCTTTTGCAATTCTGCTTTAAGAAGCAAAGATGGTTCTTCAGAACTGGCCTGGCCCTGGCCTGTGGGGAGCCCATGTTCGATCGGGGTGGATGTGGAAATTGGAGCTACTATGGGAGATGAGGAGGAATAGAAAACAGAGGGACTTTCAGAGGAGTGTGTCTCTGAACTATGCCCCAATTCAGAAGAGACAGGGGCCGGATCAGAACTGGAAGGAAGAGCAGAAAAAGAGAGAGGAGAGTAAGGGGAAGAAGGAAGCCTGGCTTTGGGCTGAGCCTCTGGAGACACTTCCAGTCTGCAAAAAGGACAAAATAAAATCTGCAGGTCAGTTGCAGATGCATGGTAACAAACAGAAACATGTAAAAATAAAGTTGCTCAAAGGGGGAGAACTTTTTTTACCTGAGGGGAAGTATTTGTATAAAGTAAAAGGAATACCAATCTTTAAATTCAAAAGGGACACTTTAGAGGAGGTCATAGAGATTGAACCCAGGCCCTTGAGCATACACTGTTCCACTGAGCTTCACCCGTAGCACCTAAAAGGGACACTTACATCAATCACCCAGCATGCCTGCCACAAAAGATATGTTGCAAGAGGAATGGAAAGACCCAGGTAAAGCAGCAGCCTGCAGTTGCTTTGATTCATTAACACAAAGCCCTAGCATTTGATCATGGTAGGACAAAAAGCATCTAAAAAGTTCAAAGCAGTAAAAGAAGTAACACAAGGAAACGGGTACAGATTTTGAAGAGAATGGTGTGTGTGTGTGTGTGTGTGTGTGTGTGTGTATGATCAAAGCAAGCAGAATCTCGAAAAAAAATTTTCTTACCCCCAGATCACAGAAATATCTCTAATGTGCATGTAAGTTATGTGGAAAAGCAGAAGTCCCTCTAGACTTGGGGAAGGTTTTTCAACCAAATGCAGAGGAAACATAGTGAACCATCATAGGAACACTCAGACTGAGGGTCTCTCATGCCAGCAAACGAAGGCCAAAGTGCAAGGAGGAAAAATAACATCTTCCTCAAAGAGTGATGTGCACTAATAACTTAATAAACATAGGTTGTGCACGGAACAGCCCCAACCTGGTATTCTGAACACACACACTCAGAATCTGTCACAAACCATCGCATTTCACTGTGGTCTAATTAGCTTCCTGAGAAGGACAACCCATGTCTGCTGGGCAGTGGCTTTTGGGCTGTGAAATAACACTGCATTTTGTGCAGGACAGGCTATCTAGGCAGTAGGGACCCATTAAAACAAACAACCCCAAATAGGACACCTTTGGCACATATAGGTACCACTATGGGACATGCCAGATTTGCTCTAATGGAGGCCTTGCTGAATGCCACAGAGAGCAAGGAGGAAAGACTTACCGAGGCTTGACGGCTTTGGTCTGGGGAGCCCTTGCAGAGGGAATAGGTAGCTTTGGTTCAGACTTGGACTCAGGTCTGGCTTCTGGTTCTGAGATCTGCACATCTTCAAAGGGGTTCAGGGAGTTACCCCGTCCAGAGGCGTCAGCTGCAGCATCTTTCTCGGACCTTCTCATGAGGTCTTCCTCTCTCAGCTGGGCTTCCTTGAGTTTGCCTTCCTTCTCCTTCCATGGGATGGAAGGAGGGCTTTCGCCTTCACTGCCCTTGGCCACATCCTTCTTTCCTGTCACCAGAGAAAACAAAGAGGACTTCTTGCTCTCCTGCTTCTTGCTGTCTTTGGTTTCTTTTGTAGCCTCTAAATTCGCTGAAGCCATGTTTTCCCTATTGTCACCACTAGACTGTGGTCGGTAGGATGGCAGAGACATGGACTTCATGGACTCCTTGGTGGGGACATCAGATAGCCACTTATCATAAGACATGCTGTCTCCTTCCCCAGGCTCCTTCCAAGATCGAGCAGCCAGGTTTTCAGTAGATGAGAACAAATGCTTCTTCCTGAAGCCCTGAGGGGATGGGGAAGAAGAAGGGCTGCTCTCCTTGGTCTCATTCTTGGCTTCTGGCTGCTCCAGGTAAACATGGTTCCCATTGATACAGACATTAGAGCGGGAAAGTGTGTCATTCTTGGACCGAAGGCCCCCAAGAAAGGACAGTCCTTCCTTCTTGGGAAGGCTGAAGTTGATCTGGCTCAGTTGCTTGGAGTCTGCACTTGCTGTCTTTTTGTGGGACATGACTAGGAAGAAACACAAAAAAATAGGGGATATGAAATTAAACTAGTGGAGGCTGGGGCTAGGGCTCAGTGGCAGAGCACTGGCCTAGCATGCCCAAAGCACTGGGTTCTATCCCCAGCACCACAAAAGAGAAGGGAAAGGAAAGGGAGAAATGAAGAGAGAGAAAAATTAAATGTGTGATTTACAATAGGAGGTGCTGACATTTGTCAATGTCTGGATACATTTTTTGTTGTCACAACTGTGTGTGTGTGTGTGTGTGTGTGTGTGTGTGGCGGGGGGAGGGGGTGCTATTGGCACCTAGCAGGTAAAACCCAAGGATGCTCAATGTACAGGACAGACCCTTACAACAAAAAAATTATTGGGCCCCAACAATCAACATTGATTGAGAAACCCTGTGTTAACCCAATGGAAGAGGCTAGCAGAGATTTAGTCACTGAAATTGAAGTCCAAAATATGGAATTAATTCAGAAAGAAAGGAACTGGATCACTTAGGGATGTATCCCGTGGGAGTCAGGCATGTAATAGGGACTCATTAATCATCTGATGAATTAAAGAAGTATCAAAATTATGACAAGGTTCCATGATTTTATCCTTAAAGAAAAATTAAAAAAAAAAAGAAAAACTGCAAAACAACAAAACTTGGATGCACTCATTCTGTTAGTCCCATATTCTAGTATTAATGTATATATGTTACAGAACAAGACACTTTGTAAAAGGCACCTTATTCATTCTTAGAAACCAGAAGGTTTAGGCCAAGCAGGGTAGTACAGGCCTATAATCCCAGTTACTTGGGAGGCTGAGGCAGAAGGATTGCAAGTTCAGGACCAGCCTAGACAATTTAGCAAAACTGTCTCAAAATAAAAAGAGCTAGGGGAAGAGCTCAATAGTAGAGCACTTGCCTAGCATGCATGAGGCCCTGGGTTCAATTCCTAGTGTTTCCAAAAAAAGGAAAAAGAAAATCATCATCATCATCTACTATCTACTATTGCCCACCATTACCATCATCGTGGAGGTAACTAAGAAAGTGAACCAAAATCTGTTTCTTCTCTCTCAAACACATGTAGGTAGCTGAGGAAGAGAGGCCAAGTGAAGAGAAGGCAGATACTCACTGTCTGAGGCAGAGGAGGAGGATTCATCCTCATTGTCGTCATCCTCCCACTGGGACTGGAAATCTCCAGGACGAAGCAGCACTTTGTCTGGCTTTGAAGTAGGCAGGACAGACATAGATTGGGAAAGTGGTGTTTTCTGCAAATTCGACTTGGAAAACAAGGTTTTGATCTTTGATTTCTTCTTCTTGTCTTTGGAAAAAGACTCATCATCACTGTCGACTGAGGGTGACATGCTGGGGACTATGGCTGAAGTGGTATCTGATACACTATCCTTATTCTTCCCTTTGATCTTGTCCTTCAGTTTTCCAAATGGATTCCGAGATTTGTCTTTCACAGAGAGGTCAAACATGCTAGCAGTCATGTTGTTCCTCATAAACTGGATGTCGACCTCGATTTCTCCTCGCTCCTTATCCTTCTTTCCTGGTTTGGATTTCAAGGTATACCACCTAAGAGGAGAAAGGCTGAGAGATCAGCTTGATGGCAGAGTCTACAACAGTGTTCACTATCCTGACTAACTGGCGTCTCTCTGCTGCTCCAGCATCTTCTATAAACACATTCTTATGCTTTCACTTTGGGGAACAGCAGTTGGGGAGGGGGATGAGCACAGAACTTGAACTTTTTTTTATTTTTGAGATTTTTCTCCCTCTGCACTAGGTAAAGATAGAATCTGATGTGGAACTTGATGTATAATCATCATCTTTTTCTTTCCTTTTATTTTATTTTATTATTTTATTATTATTTTTTTTTGCTGTGCTGGGGATTGAACCTAGGGCTTCAACCATGCTAGGCAAGTATGGTACCAATAGTTACATTCTTAGCCTTTAAAATCATCTAAAATCCTAATCCAAAAAAAGAGCTATTTCTGAAAATAAAGAGCCAGGTATGTGGTATGCACCTGTAGTACTAGCTACTCAGGAAGCTGAGAAGAGGATCATAGGAGCCCAGGAGTTTGAGACCAATTTGGGGAGCTTAGCAAGATTCTATTTCAAAAGAAGTAAACAAGTAAAAAGAAAATAAAAAGAAAAATATAAATACTCAAAATCATTTCCAATGACATTTTTTTTTTCTTTTTGGAGCTGGGGCAGATGCTTTGCCATTGAGCTACATCCCAGCCCCATATTTTTTTTTAATAAGATAAAAATTCAAAGATCAGGCACAAACAGCTAAGAAGATAGTGTACAAATTTCTATGTGAATCTAAGAAAAAAATCAAAAGTTCATAGAAAAGAATAATGCCTGCCAGGAAACAATGGAACAAGCTGTGTGCAGCCGTGCAAGCCTGTAATTCCAGCGGCTCAGGAGGCTGAGTCAGGAGGATCTTGAGTTCAAAGCCAGCCTCAGCAATTTAGTGAGGTGATAATCAACTAGGTGAGCCCCTCTCTAATAAAATACAAAATAGGGCTGGGGATGTGGCTCAGTGGTCGAGTGCCCCTGAGGTCAATCCCCAGGACCAAAAAAACAAAAAACAATGGAACATACAAGATGGAGTTAAAATTTTTTAAAGTGGAATAAAAGAGCCACAAAACAATAAAAACTAAATGTACATTCTAGTTATATGAGGTACCTAGCGTAGTCAAATTCTTTGAGACAGAAAGAATGATGGGTGCCAGGATTTAAGGGAAAGAGAGAGGAGAACGTGATGATTTTGAAGGGTACTAAACTCTACTTCAAGTTGGGGAAAATGAAAAAGTTTTGGGGATGAATGATGGTGATGGTTAGATAATAATGTGAATGAATGTACATACCACCATAGAAATGAATACTTAAAATGGTTAAAACGGTAAATTTGGGGCTAAGAGTATGGCTCAGTGGCAAAGTACTTGCCTAGCATGTGCGAAGCCCTAAGTTCAATCCCAAGTACTGAAAAAAAAATGTAAATTTTATGGTTATGTGTATTTTATCACAAGTTTTAAAAAATGAGACGTGGGAGAGAAGGCATTCTCCTCTGACTCAATAATCCAAAAGGGGAACATTTCAAACACCATTCAAATATTTCACTTGGTCATTTGCAAACTACTTCAAGACAGGACAAATCATATTATATTAGTCCACTCCCTTGACAAACTGCAGTTGCCTCCCTGCCCGCCACCTTTTGATTTGGGGGATTAAATCCAGGCACTTTCACACTGAGCCACAACCCCAGCCCTTTTTGTTTTTTGAGACAGAGTCTCACTAAATTGCCAAGGCTGGCCTCTATCTTGTGATCCTCTTGCTTTGGCCTCCCGAGTGGCTGGGATTGCAGGCAAGTGCCACCACACCTTGCTGACAAACTTTAGATAAAGAAAATCTCTTTGGCATTCATTTTCCACCTGGGAACCTGATGCCTTTGGTGAACAGCAAATCCAGTTAGTGGCATGAATGTTATCGAACAAAAAAACTCCAAATACCTGGCCTACAGAAAGCTCCATCCACAGGTCACCCTTGCAAATAAAGACTCCCCACACACTTTATTTTTTTCTTTTTTGGTACTAGGGATTGAACTCACGGGCCCTTTACCACTGAGCTACATCTCAAGCCCTTTTTTAAGTTTTTGAGAGAGGGCCTTGCTAAATTTTCCAAGCTGGCTTTAAACTTGTGATTTGAAGCCTGTCAACTGCCTCAGCCTCCCATCTCAACAGGATCATAGGCATGTGCTGCCACAACTAGCTCAGAGAATCACATTCTGATGTTCTTTTGGGTGACCTATTTAAGAGAAGAAGGCTTAAGACTTTAAGGAAATGATGGTTTTGTCTAAATGAACACATTTCCTCTTTCACCTTTAGCTGTAGCTTGCTCACAGGACCCCAGGTCCCATTAGCTCTTCCTTCAAGTAAAGGAAAGGGGTGCAGGGAAGTAGAAACCTAGCACTTAAGTAGCACCTTCAGCATACCTGCCATTGTATACACTTGAAAACACTCTTATGTAAGTCTCAAGAATGTTGTGAAGTAGATATTACACCCACTTTACAAATGAAGAAATCAAAGCTCAGAAATTAGGTCATTGGTCCAAAATCCTAGAGCTGTTATGGGGTGCAGCTAGGATTCTGAATCAGTTCTGCATTTCCCCAGAGCTCCCTATTCTTTCTCCTCCACCAAGATTCCTGTTTTAACTCTCTCCTAATTTATCTTCAGTGGGCCATATTTCATAACACAGAGAGAAAGGAAGGCTCAAATTGAAATTGTTTATGAAGAAAGTTTATTTTCTTCTTTCTTTTTTTTTTTTTTTTTGGCAGTGCTGGGGATGGAACCCAGGGTCTCATACATACTAGGCAAGAGCTCCACCCCCATTCCATAGGCTTCTAATTTATTTTTTTAATGTTTTTTTTTTTAATCTTTTGGTAGTTTTTTGTTTTTCTTTTTTGTTGTGTTATTTAGTTTTATTTATTTATTGTTTGTTTTCCATTTTTAATAAGCTTCTAATTTAAATGTGTCCAAATGAGAGAAAGGGGGGAAATCTACCATAGCTTGCCATCAATCATTAATCATAAGATTATATAAAGCTCACATCATCAAGAACTTAAACTGTATAACATAATACAGTCAAGATCTAATAAACTGAGGTGAGCTACCACTTGGGATCTTTAGGAGAAACATTTTTTTTTAAAGTCATAAATTCACAGATGGGGAAGGAGTGTTGATGTTTTGAGATGTAAGGTCTTTATGGACTATTTAACCCTTGCCAAAAGAAGGCCTAGAGTCTTTCTTTCCAATAGATTTTCTAGGACCTAGCCTACAATAGTTTGCATATTGGTCATTTAGATGTTGAGAAGATTATTTGTATTTTTCTTCTCTGACAGTCATGTGGTAAATGGTTGCCTTGGTGATGAGGGGTGTTTGGCTTCTGTAAATACCAATTGTAAGCACCTGAAAAGGAGAAGCTGCCGAAGGGCACTGTGAGGCTCAGATGACCACAGTGGCCACGGGAACAGGCGCTTCTCCTCCCTGCCCAGGGAGGAGGGGCCCTCAGGGGATCTACCACACAGCCTTTTCCATAGAGCCTCTTCAGTTAGCCCTGAGGATGCAAGAAACTTTAAAGACCTTCAAAGAATTCCAACTGACAGACCCTGGGACCAGGCCTGCCTTTCCAAAGGCTACAAGCCCCAAAGTGTTTGTTTTGAGCAAATCTAGAGTCAACTCCAAATCCTCCCTGGGGGCTGATAATTACTTGAGTCACTAAAGGGATTTGTTCTGGAAACTTCCAACACCACAAGGAGTTGCAAACAGAAACTTCACCAATTCTTCTTGCTGCTTATTTTCACAAGCAAACCTAAAACCAAAAACCAGATAGCTAAAAACAGCTACCAGCCTTAGGCTGTAAAAAGCAGACTTGGAATCACAGGTAAGCATCCCAGCAAGAGTTCAGAATTTTTTAAAAATTTGTGCCAGATTTATAAGAGCTGGAAAGAAAAACTGGAATTGTTTCCTTTTTATTTATTTATTTGTTTATATGTGGTGCTTAAAAAATCAAACTCAGTGCCTCACACATGCTAGACAAGCACTTTACCACTGAGCCACAACCTGAGCCCTGGAATTGTTTCTTTGACTACCAATACCATCCTAAAAGTCAAAACATGGTAACCTGGTAATATAAGACAGCAAAATTAGGTTAAGAGTGAAAGCCACAGTGCATGAATGTCTTTCCCCAAGAAATACCAAATTGGAACATGGTTGTATGTTCCAACATTTAAGATCAATTTGGTTTTTTCAGTGTTTCTGTCCCTGGACTTTTTACTTCCCTTAGTTCCTGCACTTCACAGAAGTAGTTCTTAAATAATCCAGCCATAGCACGAACACCCAGAAAGTAAGGGCAGTGTGGGTGTCTCCCGGCATTACCTTTTACACAGGCCCAGAAAACCTGAATTATCTCAGAAATCAGGGTTGGGTTCATTTTCTTAGACCAAAGGGCACAGTACAGAAATAAAGCCATAATCCCAATGCAGCAAGTTTATTTTTAAACCCATAATCTTTTAAAAAAAATTCTTTAACCTATTTTAAAAAAAAATCAAGTGATCCCTTTTCTAAGCAAATTTTTCTTAAAATAGTCATTTGAAAATTAAAAGAATATCTAAATATGTAGAAAGTGACAAGAAATTATTTAAATCTTGTGTATGTGTCTGTGTGTATTGCTGGCGCCTTGTGCATGCTAGAAAAGTGCTCTGCCACTAGGCTCCACCCCCAGCTCCAGCTCCTAAGCCGTATTTTTAAGTTAAAAAAAAAAAAAAAAGCATAGAGTAAAAATTCAAATCAGACAAAATTATATAAAATGAAAAGTTTAGTCTTCCTACCCCTAAGTCCATGCTCCTCAGTCTTTCTCCCAGAGATGTTACTGTTAAAAACCTTATACACCCACCCAAGTGACAGTATGGGCATATACAAGCAAAATATATATTAATCCAGCAAGCTACTGTACTATACTGTTTTTGTGTTGTTTGTTTTGTTTCTGTCAAACACAAAGTAAGACATGGATAT